AACCGAGTGTCCGTTTATTGTTTGCAGTACAGTGGCTGTAACTGAGGAAGATAAGGAAAGTTTTCCCGGATAGCAGATTGCCTGTTAGTTTGTGGAAATGGAAAGTTACAATTTTAGTTTAGTGATTGTGTTGTTTTTTTTCATTAGTCATTGCCTTCAAGTGCTTACAATGCCAGCTGAGCTAGAAGTTTTTTTTTTTTATCTTACATTTCTGTTTAAAATAGTTAAATGTTCCTTTTTATTGCTGTAAAAATTCTCACTGCACCTTCAAATGCACACAGACGGTGCCGCCTTTAGAAGCTCAACAACAAACAGAAACGGTGTGAATGTGTTGCCAAAATTATTCCCTAGATCACTGGCTCGGATTAAAGAGCTGCGCCCATTTTCATCTGCTCCGCTATCTAACACCTGTCCTCCAGGCCGCGGAGCCACGTGAGCCTTTGATGAGGGCTTTTGAGATGGACTGAATGTGAGCCACCTGCCTGCACAATGAGGGACCTCTGCAACTCTTCGAGTTTTCCTGCGGTTTTGTTGGTTGACCTGAAATTACAGTCCTGCAGGAAGTGGAGGGAGCTTGTTAGAAACACGTTGCCTCAACAGCAAATGATCATTCACAACCTACTGGGTGTTTACACCGAAATGTGACCAAGATGAACTTGCAGTTTAGAGCCGTGAATGCAGGGTTGGTGTTGAAACCGCTGCAGGCAGAGAAGAGACTTTAACAACGTTCAGTCACAGACAATATGTCCCATTTATCAGCTGCTGAGAGGCGTTCAGGAGCTCTTCGAGTTCAAGAACTACATTTATTAAAGCAACGCTTTTGTTGGTGTTCAGATTATTTAAGAAATCAGTGGAATAAATGACATTTTCTGCAGTTCTACACACTCAGTGGTCACTTTATTAGGTACAACTGTAATGCCATTTTTAGATGGTTTTCACTGTTGTGGTGCTTTATAATGACAGGTGTTTGGAAAATTATGAACCCTGCATTTTTATAGAGGATTACTCTAAACCCTGGAAAAGGGTTCAACAAATTATAAGAACAAACCTTTGGTTTGTATTAGGGGTGTCAATATATGAGTAGCAATAATAATTCATATTTAAAAATGAAATATTCATGTCTAGTTCAAATGATCATGTATTTAAACTGGTTTAAAGTTCCAGAGCTCCATTTATTTCCATTTGTTCAGGCACTGAAGTTGTGAAATGAAACAAAAGAGAAAAATTACTCCATGTGCATAAATCCACTGGCTGTCTCATCTCTGTAGTGTCTCAAGTGTTTTCCTCTAATAGTCAGCACCTGTCACTGTGCTGCATACCTTTTATCTGCACTCATTTAAGCAGCATATATAAAGAAGCGCCATCCGGTGGCTGGAGGTGTAAACACAAACGAAGATGTTTAAAAACGGCCGAGTAGAAGCAGCGTAATGTTAAAGACTCGCTGTGCAGTTTATCT